AGGAGTAGTAGTAGCAGTAGCAGGAGGAGGAGGAGGAGGAGGAGGAGGAGGAGGAGGAGATGGAGGACGAAATAAAGGAGGAGGAGATGGAGGACGAAATAAAGGAGGAAGAAATGGAGGAGGAGGAGGATGATGATGGCACTGTACAACAAAGGCAAAGCATGCAAAAGATATGTATCACCGTAGGTGTAACTCGTACTTCCGCAGGAGGCGGCTCGAGGCTCTCCTGCAAATAAACGTTAATCTAAGGCAAGAGGAGGGAGAAGAGGAAGAGGAAGAGGAAGAGGAAGAGAGAGGAAGAGGGAGGGGAAGAGGAAGGGGAAGGGGAAGGGGAAGAGGAAGGGGAAGGAGTGGTAGTAGAAATGAAAGGATGGTTGTTGTAGTTGGAGGAAAGGTATGATGATGATGATGATGATGCAGGTGATGATGATAGACAAGATTAGAAGTGGTGGTAGTGGTAGAAGAAGAAGTAGTGGTAGCAGCGGTAGAAGTAGTGGTAGCGGTAGAAGTAGTGGTAGCGGTAGAAGTAGTGGTAGCGGTAGGAGTAGTGGCAGAAGGAAACCGGTGCTGTGGGGATCGGAAGTTTCAGGGCCTGCAAGGAAAATGAGACAAAACCAAGGGGAAGAACAGATTGATTCAGGCAGTTGGAAAAAAAGGAAGAATGAGGGAGGGAGGGAGGGAAGGGCGGAAGAGAAGGAGAGGGTGGAAATGTGTTAAAGAGAGGAGAAGGCAGAAGGGGAAGAAAACATGGAGAGAGGGTGTGGGGAAGCGAAGAGAGGATAAGGACAATAGGGAACAGGAGGAGGGAGGGCAAGGGAGGGAGAGGAAGAATCAAGACAAATACTTGGTTGTGTTTCCAGTGATGCATGCGGATGGCGTCTCGAATGAAGACATATCCTTCCTGCTCGAGAGAGTGAGCGAGTGGAGGATGGTAGGGGACAGAACCTTTGAGCCAGGAACGGACCCACGAACGGCGATGAGGTTGTTTAGAGGATCAACAGCGTAGACCTGATGAACAGGTAAGAGGAGCAGCAGGAAGAGGGAGGTGAGCGAATTTGGAGAGGCAGTGGACGATAAGTGGAGGTAGAGAAAGGGGGGTTGCAGATGACGCTCACCAGCAAGCCCAGGACGGTGACTTGCTTATTTCCCATGTGCCCGTGCATTTTCTTGTTCTTGAAAGTTCGACTGTTGGAGCGAGTTAGGTGTGAGGTAGCATGGAAAAGCAGGCATCGAGGGAAAAGAGGAGGAAGAAGTAGATGGAGGGAGGGAGAAGAGACGGAGGGTAGACTGAGCATCATGTTTGTAGCTGCTCCTGCTGCTGATACTCAAGGACAAAAATGCCATGCACGCGTATGGCATCCTGACTGACATGGAACAAGACAGAGAGTCGTTTCCGAGCTTTTCCAACAAGAGCGGAGGAGGAGCAGGAAGTTCGTATGTGTGTGCGGGATAGCGAAGAGAGAGAGGACGAGCAGGAAGGAGAGGAAAAGTGGTTACCCTGGCGACTTGCGGTGCCCAGTGGAGCCCTGGGATAGCAAGGTGAGGGGAGAACAAAACAGCAGCGGTGACCCTACCAGCGATCTGTGGGACCGGGAGGCTCCGTGTGACGCTCCTGAGGAGGAGGCTCTTCAGACAGAGGCCCTCAAGAGGAGGAGCGAGCAGGAGAGCCGGAGACGTTCACATCCTCTCACCTTGACCACCGAAGCCCCAGCGCTTCATCGCACCCTGGAAGCCCTTCCCGATGCTGCAAGGGGGTCAGAGACTAGCCGGGCTAAAGCTGGATACTGATCCTACCTCTTCCCCGTGATGTCCACGTACTGGCCCGCGACTAGGTGAGACGCAGTAAGGCAAGTGCCTGACCTCCCGTGTCAGCTCGAGGGAGTGTGAGCAGGTAAAGATGGCCGACCGGTCTCCAGCAGGGCGTCCTCAGTGACGCGGAACTCGTGGACCTTCTTCTTGGGAACTACTGAGTGTTTCTGCCAGACAAGTTAAGGAGTAGGAGGATACTAGGAGAGGGCAAGTTGAGAAGGAGGAAGAGGAGGGGGAAAATGGAGGATGAGGAGGGGGAGGAAAAGAGGGAAGAGGAGGAGGAGGAGGAGAGGGGCGTGTGTGTGTAAAGAGGGAGCAGATAAGCAAGAGGAGCGCAGGGATGAGCAGGAGCAGAAGAAGGGGACAAAGAGACCTGGAAATGAAGTAGAAGTGATTTCGGCATGCGCTTAGCAAGCTGGTTGACAGCCCCGATCTTAGCAGGAACGAGAGTCAGCCGCTGGCTGCCATGGAGTCCCTCGGCTCCTCGACTTACCTGCAGTCCCGTGTATCCCTCGTTCTGAGGAGTCTTCACTTGGATAACCTTTGAAACACAGTTACCATCTGATTCAACCCACGCCCTCCTCCTCCTCCCTTTCGAGCCCTCCTCCTCCTCCCTTTCACATTCTCCTCCTTGCCCCCTTCCTCCCGTCCTGCTCCCACCCGTCCTGCTCCTCCTCTCTTTCCCGTTCACTTCCTGACCCCTTTCCACCCACATTTTCCTTCCTCCCATCCGTGTCCTCCTCGCCCCTTCCTACCTGGTTGTCCGGGATGTGGATCAGGGTCAATGGATGTCCGACCGAGTTGTCGTCCCAGGCTGCACGATGTCTCAGTTTCCCTTGTCCCGCCATGTTCCATTCTCCCTCATGCTCACCAAGGGTCATCCCCTTCTTCACTCCGATCAACCCGCACCTCACCGTCCTCTGAAAGCCCCCGGGAAGCAGCCCTGAGCAGGAAGGAAGGTCAGGATTGCGGATGGATAGAGGGGTGGGCGGGCGGGTGGATGGAGGGAGGGACAGAGAATGTGATAGAGGCAGAGGGAGAGAGCGAGCATGAGGGTGTTCGTACCTGTCTTGGCCGCCTGTGTCGCTACCTTCTGGATCCCTCGAATCAATCGGCTCATGGCTTTGAGCAAACTGGAGGATAAAGCTGAAGAATCAACACTATCATCATCGAGAAAACTTGATTATCAACAAACATGACCCACGACCCACTCTCCCTCTAGGAGCTCTTCCCTGCATATTTCTCTTCTCCATCCTCTCTTTTCACTCCTCCACTGCCATTGCATGCATAATACTCAATCTTATCAGCGTGTCCTCTAAAGTTTGCTTGCCTGCCCAGAATCTGCAACCCGTTCCCAATGCGCTTCTCTGACCTTACATTCGGTACATCTAACTTCAGCCTCTCCCTCACACTTTCTCTTTGACTACAACGCATCCACAGTCTTTCTCCTCCTCCTCCTCCTCCTCCTGTCCCCCCTTCGCTCTCCTGTCCCTGCCATGGCTCCAACGTCTAACCCGCAGCCGCGCCTCGGCCCATTGATAGCTCCAAAGCTCCACCCGCGTGCTGTGGCCTCATCCCCGCGCAATCGGTCTGAGGCGGACCTTGTCCACTACGTCCGGTGAATATTTCAGGAGGTTTGCTTTGGCCACTTTATATAAGTTTTACAGGGAAGATCTCGAGCGGTTTAGTTTGGGTCTGGGTTCAGCTTAGCCGAAAGGACACGCCGCTTCGCATGCGCGGCGGGAGGGGGGAAGAGAAGGAGTCGGCGATGGAGGCTGCGGGGCAGGGAGGGAGGTGGCAGAGGAGGGGGAGGAGATATTCTGTTGAGTTTGCCATGGAATGGAGTGGAGAAGTTCTGATCTCCAAGAGTGTTTCTTGCATGCGTGCATGGCTTGCAAAGGTTCTATTTTGGTAAACAATGGGGGAGAAGACAGGACCGAGTGGTTGTTAGAGTAAAGCTTGAGAGCAGAGGGGAGGACACAATCTGTTGATGTCAGTGTTAGGATGATATGTTCTCCTACCATGATATTGCGCTTTCCCATGCATGCGAACTCTCCTCGCCACAGTCGCGCTTACAAGTTTTACAGGAGCTTGAAGTGCCTGGCAGGCAACTTGGGGAGAGCAGACAGCTGCAATCTACTCCGGACCTCGTGGAAGTCCCTCCAGAGCCGATAGATCTGCTTCCGTCTACCATGTCCGCCGAGTATGGTCTGGTCAACGACGACTACACCTACATGGAGGATTACAGGTGCTGTTTGCGGCCACGAGGGTTGAGTCTTCTCCCACTCACAGCTCTTCCTCAGGCGGGATGCATCCTACCCTGTGAGACCTGCCGCTCCTGCGCCTGGCGGGGGAGGGGAGGCCGCGCCATTGCTGAGCCCTGGAGTTCCGACTGCAACCTCCTTCACGCAGATCGAGCATGTGTCCATCGACACTCCTGCCAACGCTCAGCCCTCCCTGATCCACATCGACGGCAAGCCCGTGTAAGGAGCTCTAGCTCGCTCCCCCCCCTGCTCCTTCTCCTGCTCACTTCGCTCTCCTGCTCCCGCACTCCTCTTGCTCTTTCCTTCCCCTGCTCCTGCTCCTGCTCCTGCTCCTGCTGATGTCTTCTCTATTAGGGATACACACAGGTATGAGTTCCCTGGCTTCGTCCCTCCCTCGGACCTCAAGTTCGAGATGCTCGACCCTATCGACCGGTCGACTCTCCACCATCCCTCCCGGGGGACCCTTAACGAGATCTACTCCACTGCGATCTGCGGCAACGACCTGACCTCCTCTGTCCTCTACGTCATTGGCGTCACCACCACCATGGCTGGTCAGCTCGCCCCGATCTGCCTGCTGATTGTTGGCTTCGTCCTCTACCTCTTCAAGTCCGTTTATGGCGAGGTGAGCCTTGAAACCCCTGCTGCTGCACCTCCTGCTTCTACTGCTTCTTCTCATCCTGTTCCTTCTGCTCCCCCTTACACCCTCCCCTTCTTGGTCCTCGTACTCACCCTCCCCTTCTTGGTCCTCGTACTTGTCCTTCTTGTTAGCTACCACCTCTTTTCCAAACTCTGTTTCTCCCATCTTCCTTTATTTCGCTCGTTGCTATTCCCTTTCCTGTTCTCTGCTGTTTTGGTTTCGTATCTCGCTTTTCATACTTCTCCTTCCTTCTCGTCTACCTCCCCCTTGTCTCTTCCTCTCGTCTTCTCACCTTACCTGTCCCCAGGCTGGGACGGCTATCCCACTCAACGGCGGAGCGTACAACCTCCTTCTGAACACAACCTCCAAGAACATGGCATCACTAGCCGCCTGCCTCACCATCCTCTCCTACATCGCCACGGCGGTGGTGAGTGCGACTGAGTGCATGACGTACGCTGCCAACTTGTGCCCCTGGATCGACATCTACTGGGGCACTATCCTCCTTCTTGGCTTCTTCTGCTTCCTCTCGGTCATGGGGATCACCGAGTCGGCGGTGGTGGCCGTTGGGATCTTTATCGTGCACATGGGGTCGATGGTGTTTCTTATCTTCGTGGGAACCCTCTACACCTTCCAGAACCCTTCGATCCTTGCGAACAACCTGAAGGAGCCTCTCAAGTACGACTGGCCACTCTCGATCCTCTTCGGGTTCTGCACGGCCATGCTGGGAGTGACGGGCTTCGAGACGTCGGCGAACTACATTGAGGAGCAGCAGCGGGGAGTGTTTCCCAAGACGCTCTTCAACACCTGGTTCATCGTCTTCTGCCTTAACCCTGTCCTGTCCATTATCTGCCTTGGCGTCCTCGACCTCCCCACCCTCGAGGCCCATCACAGAGACGTGCTTGCCAAGACGGCCTACGACGCCGGAGGGAAGTACTTCGGACTGTGGATCAGTGCTGACGCGGCCCTTGTGCTTGCTGGGGCTGTGCTGACTGCCTACGTCGGGGTGACTGGGCTGGTGAGGAGGCTGGCACTTGATCGCTGCATGCCGCAGCTGCTGCTGGCGGAGAACCGGTTCAGGAGGACGAACCATCTGATCCCTATCTCCTTCTTCATCCTCTGCTCCTCCCTCTTCATCCTGCTGCAGGGCAGAGTGCGTTCGCTTGCCAACGTGTACACGCTGTCGTTCTTGTGCGTGATGACGCTGTTCGCGGTCGGGAACATGATGCTCAAGTACAAGAGAGGAAGGATAAGGAGACCGATCCGCGCCTCGTGGTCGACCAACTTCGCAGCGCTGGCGGCTGTTGTCATTGCGCTCATCGGCAACGTTATGCTTGCTCCTGGACATCTCATCTACTTCTTCATCTACTTCATCGTGGTCGCCGGCATCACCTGGGCGATGTTCGAGCGTATCAGAGTTCTGAAGTACTTCCTCTACTTCGTCTCCCAGGGTCCCCAGCACCTGCAGGATCGGTTTGCGGGCGTCACTCAGCTGGCCATGGACAAGATCAGGTCGCAGAAGGTGGTGTTCTTCGCCAAGAACGACAACCTGGAGGTTCTCAACAAAGCTGTCAGCTATGTCCAGCAGAACGAGCTCACCCGCTGGCTCAAGGTCGTCTATGTGTACGAGGACCTTAACGATCCCATGATCAAGGCCATCGCCGAGAACCTCCGCGTTATTGACCGCTGCTTCCCCAAGATGGTGATCGACCTCGTTCTCGTCCAGGGCACGTTCTCTCCCGAGGTCGTAGCACAGATCTCCTCGAGGCTCGGCGTTCCGCGCAACTTTATGTTCATCGCCTGCCCCGGTGACAGGTTCCCCCATGACATCGGCGACTTCGGGGGAGTTCGGATGATCACGCACTAGAAGCGGCGGGGGATGACGGAGAGCAGAGGAGTCGAGGACCTGCTCGAAGTCTGCTGGGACAAGTTTGCGTGCTCGTGCTCTGCTCGCTCAGTGGGTGTTTTTTGTCTCGTTTGCCTGCTAAGGAGGAAGAAGACGAGGGAGGAGGAGGAGGAGGCGGAGGAGGAGGAGGGAGTTTACAATCTCATGGAAGTTGCTCTCCCTCCCTCGGGGTAGGGATGTTAAGGACTATCCTGGGCGGCGCAGTAGAATCGTCCAGCTGGACGCGGACTGGGAGGAGAGGGGGGGGGGGGGGTAAGAGCGAGAGAATAAAGCATCGCATGCTAGTTTCTCACTTCGTAGCTCGACGTTGAGGCGGATGCGGAGGCTGGTGTGATCCCAGTGAAAGACGATGTCGCCCTGAGCAAGGGATGAGGGAAGGGAGAGGGGGAGGAGAAGAGGAAGAGGAGAGCGAGAGAGAGCAGGAGCAGGAGAGTGAAGGAGGAGGAAGAAGAGAGGAGCAAGAGCAGGAAAAGAGGAGGAAGTGAGGAGAAGAGGAAGTGGAGGAGAAGAGAGGAGGAGGTGGAGGAGGGGAGCAGCGGGGAGGTGAGGAGAGGACTGAATGGATAGCTAGATGCAGCAGGATGAGGCAAGGGAGATACACCGAGATACAGCAAGAGGATGAAGAGAAAGAGAAAAGGGGGATGGGGATGGGGACGAGGAAAAGGGGAGGAGAAGGAGAAGAAGAAGGAGGAGGAGAAGGAGGAGGAGGAGAAGCAGAAGCAGAAGCAGAAGGAGGAGGAGGAGGAGGAGG